ATAAACAGGCATAACAAAATTTGTTGAATGACTCGTTGTTGAAAGTATGTCACGTCGTTCACTTATTTTATATACTGAACATTCATATGTCCCATCGGTATTTAATTCATTTGTTTTTATGTGTCATATATATATATTTTTTTTTTGTCTTTCTCTCGTCCATAAATCATTGTTCATGTTGTTGTTATCATTGACGATCAATGATCAACATGCACAATGAAATATGTATATCATTTTCGACGAGAGAAAAAAAAATGATTTTTCAGCGTATATATACGAATGATTTTCTATGTAAAATCATTCAAATTTTTGAATCAAATAATAATCATTTTTCTTTTTCTATTTTAGATTGACCTCGATGATACAAAATTAATCAAATCAAGATGAAGCCATACAATAAAAAAAAATGTAGGTATCAGTTTTCATTTTTTTTCTTTTTTTTATTTAACGATTATAAGGATGGTGAAGTAAGACCTCCTATAATCTTTTTAATTTATTTTTTTTTCTTTTGTCTTAGGTTCGATGAATATTTTCAACTATGACAAGGTAACAGTGGGGTAAGTTAACTCATTCTTTTTTTTTTGTCATTATATAACATTAAACTAATTTTTCTTTTTAGATAGTCATCGTCTTGCATTCAATATCAATTAATAGAATTGTAAGTATAGATTTCTTTATAGTTAGCGAGATAGATAAGGTATGAGTGAGAGTGAGGATAGGGCTACTCTAAGATAAGTGAGATAGAGTTATGGGTGTTAGTTAGATCGTCTTCCCAGGTTAGACGTTAAACACTGGCCAGGAACTATCTTGGTGTCCGTGGCACACGACCAGGCTTATTCAGACTCATTGACATATCTCTCGCGGGGAGGGTATGAATGATATGAGTCTGTCCTGTGCGTGCATGAGCGTTACGCTCGCTACGGCTCCACCAGGATGGTTTCTGGTCGCGCGCGCGCGAATAGAATAAGCCATTCATTTCATCAATTCAATGTGATTTATTTGAAACGAAAGGAACGCAAAAAAAATCTATCACGACGAGTCTATTCGATTGAAAAACGTTGAACACGATGATTCCCATAATCGGCGACATAGAGATTGCCATGTCGATCGAAGGACAAACCTTGGAGATCGTCGAACTGATTTGCTCCTTCTCCGTAACCATTTCCACCCACAATGACAGTGCCCTGTTTCGCTCCTTTAGGCCAACGCATCACTCGACTATTATAGCCATCTGCCACATAGATGGTACCCAATGTATCGACGAACAGTCCTTGAGGATAATACAACTGTGTCAGAGCATTTCCTTGTCCTTGACCTCCGGCGGCGACAATTCCTTCTTTTGCACCTTTATTCCATTTCATTACACGATTATTGTCCCCGTCTGACACGTAGACAGTCTGTTGTTGATCGACAAAGATGTATCTCGGTCCGTTGAGTTGATTGAGACCAGCACCTTTGCCATTGCCACCAGCCACAATAGTTCCATTCTTGTCTCCTATTTGATATCGTTTTACTTCATGTTTGTCGGGGTCAGAGATGTAGAGATATCTCTGATCATCCATGGTCAATCCATAACCAAAGATGTTGTCGATGAGGATTTCTCCTTGAGTTGTACCACTACGACGAGACCATCGTACGACTTGCTGATTGCCCAGGTCACAAATAATGAGACTATCCGTCTCTTTGTCGATCAAAACATCGATTGGAGAATTCAATTGATCCAATCGATTTCCTCGGCCATTGCCACCAGCTACTACTTGTCCATTCGTATCACCCATCTTCCATTGGATGATACGATGATTCAAGCTGTCAGCGATGACCACCGTTTGATCATCATCAACGAAGAGACCACCAGGGGAGGAGAGTTGATTGGTGGCATTGCCATATCCATGGCCTCCAGCAACAGTCGTCGCATTCTGTGCCCATCGGGCATCGGCTGGAATATTTAGAATTACTACAATGAACAAAAAAGAAAATGAATCATCGTTATCGAAGGGATCTCGTCTCTCATGAGAGCAAGCGCTACAAATACGACATTCGTCTTTGAGAATGCTCATTCTGCAGATAAAAATTCAGAAGTCTTTTCCTAGTTTCTTATGAGAAAAAAAGGATTTCGTAAGGATTCTTACATCTATGTTACTTCTAGTTCTTGCCAAGATCTTTTTGATCATAAAAATAACACCTTGAGATTGTTGTAAGGAGGTTCTTCAAGAAAGAGTAATACTAATTCCATGTAAGTTTTTGATAGAAAAACATAAGGATCTAAGGATTTTTTTCAGAATCGCAAGAATTCAGAATCTTTTTGGCAGAATGATCATTTATATGAACATCAGAGACGACTCTATCTGTATCTTGTGAGAAGAATATCGAATCGTTGAACAACAAAATATCAAACCTAATTCCTATGTTTTTAGGAAACCTTAAGGACACATGATTTTCTGTATGATGAATGTGGATCTGCCGAAGAATCTCCTAAGTATTTGCATAGACTTTTGGTAAGTTATGTGAAGCTGTTCGAAGAACAACCATGATGTACTCTGAGTAAGATTATGAGAAGGTTTGGATATAGGAGAAATTGAACAATGTTGAGAGAATTCCACGCGAATCTATGTAATCTGAGAGGGCTTCTACTTTTGCAAATGCTGAAAAGATGGATACCAATTCGAACGAAACTCTCCAGTGACAAACATTGGGATCTATGGATTTTATGGGCTTTGAAAATCTAAAAATAATGAGTATCTTCTATCAGGATCATGGTATAATCTTTATGTAGTACTTGTTCTGAAAAGTCTTCTGTAAGCTCGCATGTTATGGATATGTTCAGGAGGATCTGAAGAGTAAGTATTTTGGAATGGTTGATATCAGAGATGGGCAATTACAACTCCAAAGTTGACACTATTTCTCATCAGAATGAGAGTGAAGGTGCCTATCTCTGGATTTTATGAGAAAGTTTATAAAACAATAGATTAACATGCTACTAATTGATATCAATCGTAGATTTAATTATGTTAAAAAACTTATGTGTACTTAAGAGTGTTTTGGTAGAAGTTCAGTTTTCTGAAATTCGACTGGAATTGAAGCTAAATCGGAGTTGGAGTAGGATTTTAGAAAAAAAGGAGTGGAGTGGTATAAGGTTGGAGCGAAACACACTGTATTTGATGATGTGGAGTTTTAGAAAATAGGACTGGAGTTATGTGGAGTTGGAGCAGGATATAGTGTAGTTGTCCATCTCTACTTAATACCCAAATGTCGATCCTAATCAGTACCCATCGCTTCTTTTCTGGAACATTGGGAATTACTACAATGAATGAAAAAGAAAAGGGATCATCATTGTCGAAGAGATTTCGGGAATGTTCTTTTCGCAGATAAAAATTCAGAAGGCTTTTACTAATTCCGTATAAAAAAAAGGATTTCGTAACGATTTCCACGTCGATATCACTTCTAGTTCTTGTCCAGATCGTTTATATGGTAAAAAGTAGAGCCTTGCAGTGAGTGAAAACTGTACATGGAAATTGTTGTAAGGAAGTTTTCCGAGGAAGAGCAATGGACATGGCCATGCATCGGTCCTCCATGCATGGGGAGATGTTCGAATTAAAAAATCAAGAAAACTAAATATGTCAATTGAAAGGGTACTAACGATAGTATATACGGCAGATGTCACTACCTACCCCTGTATGCAGTTATGAAGTGATGGTAATATCATTTTTTCTTCTAGTGAGCTTCTTACAAAAAAAATGATTGAATCATCACAAATAAAAACATCTGATTTTTGATGAAATTCCGTACAAAAACTACTTATAGTGTATTTTATTCGCTTATATGGCAAATTAATTTTAAAGAAACTTCATAATCAGATAGATCTTTTCAAAAACTATGGAATGCACCGGGTTTTTTTATTAACCTTTGGTTGTATTTTTGTGCATTTTTTAAAAAAAATACTTCGTTACGAAATTTCATTAGAAGAAAAAATATACATGTGAGAGAATTGTAACTTTTTTGTACAATTATATATTTTTTCCTTTTGTTTCTTGATATCTGCCAGATTATCACAGAAAATTTCGGTCCGGTACAGTGTTGCCAGATGGATGAGTCCAAAATCCGGAAAACAATTCAGAAAGGCTTTCGAAGATTAAGTTCAGCTAGTAAAAGGATATTTTTCTTTACCAAATTATTAATAACGTTGTTTTTGATCTTCACACAATATATTTCAATGAGTAAAAGCGAAAAAATATCAAAAGATAACTAAACGATTAGCAACTCATAAAAAGATCTATTTTGACATGAAGGATATAGATGTAAATCTACATATACAAATCCTTGTCGCTTAATTTTGATTAAACATTCTGCAACTGTCAGAGAAAGACGAATGTAAAGTACGATCACGTTGTTCATTCATTTTACTGTCAATGAATAAAAGAAAAGCGAGAAAATAACCCATGACAGAAAAAAATAGTTAAAAATCCGATTGAAAATCAATTGCAAAGGCACTGTTTTAATCTGACTTTAACTCGATTTTTAAGCCTTAAAGACAGATTTCATTTGATTTCAACATTTGTTAATCTATTTTAATTGGTTAACAAATTTTAATTAATTAAAATCAATTTCTAATAATCACTTGTAATTAATTTTATTTTAATAATCCATTAAAAGAGATAGAAAGCAAAGTTAAAATCAAATGAAATCTGTCTTTAAATGTGAAGACTCTGATTAAAATCACATTATAATAGTACCGTTTTAATTGATTTTCAATCTGATTTTTAATCTTTTTTTCTTAGCTGGAAGTTGGTCCGTTGAGCTGATCAATAAAAAAAGCAAAGCTTGCTTCACATAATTGATAAAGTTTTACTAATATTAATAGATACGTAAAATATCATTGAAATAGAAAGTATCTGAAATCCGGAAAAAATCCAGAAGATCTGGCAACACTGATCCAGTAGCTTACCAACTCATAGAGATACAGACGTCAAATATTAAAAATATACATTTTTGCAAAGAGTCATCGTACAAAAAAAAAAGATTTTCTAAGGAAGAAAAGAAAGAAGTTGAAAAATAATAACCTTGTTCTATTCAGCATCCGACGAACTATTCAAATACATAAATCGTTGATACCATTGTTATCTCTGTCTTGCTCATCCATGACCAAAACACTGTTACAAACACTTTGTCTCTTTTATGTAGAGAAATACAAAACCTTTCCTAGCAGACGAAGGAACCCACTCAAAGGAAAGAGTTTTGTTCAAGTAATCAAATGGGTAAAAAAAAATTTCAGTCTTCTCGTTATTAGTTTCGAGAGAAGTAAGCTAACTTTTT